CTGGCTCTCCTCCGTCTCTTCCTATATGCCTTAGGGTCTTATCATTCACTGAAAAGCTTCATATATTTTTACGACACACCCCACTTTTTCACTGTTTACTTTTGCCAAATCTTGCTCCTTCTCCATCCGCGTTTGTTTGTTAATTCATCTGATACGCCATTCTACTGTAAGTCTTACACAATACATCAGAAATCAGCCTATTAACTTGAGATTTATTTATAAATCCATCGGTAAAATGAAAAAGATCGATGTCGTGTGTGTGTGTGTGTGTGTGTGTGTAATATCCATACTATAAGTGCTTCCCTATATAACTGAAATAAATGTTAATATTGGAGCTAAGTTATTACTGTACTGAGTCGAGTATGCTGATAATAAACTCTCTCATGGATATGGTCATATAGTGTATCCATCTCTTATGACAACTTTTTTCTGACACATTATTATCAGTTTAAATCAAATTTAGCTGGAAGGGAATCATGATTCAATTAAAAAGAGACCTCCTATATAATTTTTTTAATCTCTAATGTCAGTGAATGATGATAAGTGAACAAGTTGGAGGAGTCACAAAACTAGGAAGATAGAGTGAGGTGGATTTGGATTTGTTGGTACATTATATAGAGCCATGTGCATATAAATTAAAATCTATTATTCTGCTCTGTGAATAGTATGAACCTAAAATTACGTGCAACCAGCTATCATTATTAGTGTTATATTTAAGTGTTTCAAATGTACCTCTACACAGAGTAAATAATAGTAGTAGTAATAGCAGTAATAATAATAATAATAAAGATGGGCCCTATATCAAACTTATCTTTGACATTTTAAGTTTAATGAACTCAGAAATGAACTTTTTAAGCTTATTAATAATAATAATTACATTTTTACCTAAAATTGTTAGAAATTTTATTTAAAAAAGAATTTCAAAATGTCTAAGTTAATTATAGTTCCAAACTTGATTAACAAGTTAATATATTTGTTTACAAATAGTATTTCTAAGTATTTTATTAAAATATTAATACAAATTAAAGCCAAAAAATATATACTTCCTAAGTTAGTTTAGGTGGTAAAGATTGGTTATGACTTATATAAAAAATATATAAATAAAAGGCGAAGAAAGGATTAATTTTTGCTAAATTATTTTTAAATGAACAAAACGTAATAAGTACATGAATCAAATATAGTTCCGCGTAAATTAGTGAATGAAGAGTGCTGGTTTAATTAAAATCCAGAAAGGAATCAACTTACGATTGTTTCCCCTGCTTTTATGGGGCAATTAACTTGATTGAAAATATGGAAAGCGAGTGTGAGAGGGCGAGACTTTTAACTTTGTTCCCATACTAAAATTGGGCCATAATATTTGCCAAAATAATTGGGCCATAATAAGATCATTCCACCGAGTATGGCCCAACACGATCTGTTTGCTCAGCCCAAATGTTTTCACATATGGGCTTCCTTGTGCTCAACATTACTCTAATAGGTTATTTTGAATATTTCAATTAATATTTCTAAAAAAAATTAAACAATATATTCTTCTGGTCCTTAATATAGGACCTAATTATTAAGTTAATTTTGGTCTTAAATATAAAACCTATTTCTCATATTTATCAATCTTTCCTAAATTATCCCTATGGATAGTCCCTGAACTATAATCAAGTAGAAGAAAGGGGAAAAATATTAAGAAAAATGATTATGGTGTTATAGAAAAAATATGTCATATTTTTTAATAATCAACCAACTTATATAACTTCTTTAATCTAATCAAATGAGTTAAATAGATCTTATATTAAAGATCAGAAGAGTAGTTGATTTGCTTGTTTGTCTATTTTAGACTAATTGCTAAAATATAAAACCTATTTCTCATATTTATCATTTTTTTTAAATTACCCCTATGGATAGTCCCTCAACTATAATGAAGTAGAAGATGGAGGAAAATATTAAGGAAAATGATTATGGTGTTTTAGAAAAAACATGTCATATTTCTTATAATTAACTAACTTACCTGACTTTCTTAATCTAATCAAATTAGTTAAATAGATCTTATATTAAGAACCGGAGAAGTAGTTGATCTGCTTGTTTGTCTGTTTTAGACTAATTGCTAACTTTAAACTTCTACCTTGTTAAAACCTCATAATTTCTTAACCAACTCTAAACATTTACTCTCCTTGCAATTTAAAGAGTACTATTGATATTGTAATTGTGGCACGGAGCTGGTATTTGATTGACAGAAAAATAAAATAAAATATACTTTTCAGTGGACATGATTTGATGAAGACAAAGTTACTCGTCACATTTGATTTACTATTTATTTCCTGTTGATCTACATAATTGTTTGACTAAGCCGCCACTAGTCAGTCTGAGCTTATCCTTAAAGCTTTCATTTAATTAAGAGGCAGATATAATAGGCTTATACATTTAACACTCTCTTAATAATACCTGAATTTTTATTTGGTTTTATATCTGATTTCCTTTTCTTGTTTGCTTCAGAACGGCTTTAGATGTGCTTTAAATAGATTTTTTTTGTTTTCTTGTTTTAAAAAATGTATTTCAAAAACTTGTTCTCGAAAACTTTTTGAATTAAAAAATATATTAAGGTTATCCAATACGATGAAATATTTTTTCAAGTACGTCTAATACCATAAAATATTTTCTGATTCATTCAACTTTCTAAAGTATTCTTTTTAAGTGCATCTAGCGCTTAAAAAAAATTTTATAGTTCATCTAGCACCCTAAATGTTTTTCCAGTGCGTCTACCATTCTAAAAAAAAAAAACTAAAAAATACTTTAAGATATTTGATACACATTGATTTAATAAAAAATTTTACAAGATTAAAATGGATCTGAAAAGAAAAAATATTTTAAGGGCATAGTTGCCACTAAAAAAAAAAAGTAACACTTTAATCCAAAAAAATTAATACTTTTTTAAAAAAGTTAACACTTTAAATTCAAAATTGTAAAAAAATATATTTTAGGATGCTTACCCCTATTAAAAAATTATTTCAGAGTATTGGATAAATTGCAAATTACTTTATAGGTGACCCTTTCAAAAAAGTTTGACAAAAAAAAAACTATTTTAAAAATATAACAACAGAAAACAGAATAAGACCAGCTCTAAAGTATGATTTGGCTGGAAAATTATAGCTAGATTGAATACATGACTGGTGACTGAACCGATCAAACAATGGCTGAATTAATGAATGAGTTTGACCCTGACCCGCCTATTATTATTGAGCAATCCCAAAAGTTCAAGTCATAAAATTCTAAACTTTTCCTTTTCAACATTATTTTTTTCCCCACTAAGCCAAGTCCAAAACTAGACTTGGACCCTCCACGTTGGACTTGGACCCGATCCCAAATGGACAGGCTCAAGTTCAACCATATACAACCTTCCACGCTAAGCCCTAGTCAAAGTCAAATTATGCTGAATATACAGAACTCTCGCATTTCTGTTTCTGACTTTGTTTAATGCTCCAAACAAAGAGTTGGATGAATATATATATTTCTCAGTATCCTGTCTCTGTACTTTTCTGTTGATTCCCAAATCCTATTCCTGTTTGATTCGTTGAACTTCTTATTAGCAGTCAAAGTCTAATGTTTTTGCCTTTTTGGGTTCGAAATTATACTGTGTCTGCCTCAAAACCAGTAATCGAATTTCAAAGAAAATATGTATTGTTGACAGAGAAGCTGGTGCAGGTTGTTATAGTAAAAAAACCAATCAACCTCGTATAACATGTTCAAAGAATAGAAGGGTTTGATATCATCCTTAGCTTCCTGCTCCAACAATCTCATTAATTCTTTTTTTTAAGGTTTTTGAGAAATTTCATGTCATCCTAAATATCAACGGTAGCTTGATGTCATTAGATAATACTACCTTTGGTCCTTAACATAATAATTTGTTTGACTTTTATTTTAGTCCTAAATATAAAACCCTAATTCACTTTATTTATCATATATATATATTTTAAATTAGTCATTGTAATAATAACAGTTCTAACCAATATACTTGATTAGCAATGATATTTTAAGAAAGACAACGTAATATCTATTTATTACAAATAACTAACATAATTAATTTTTTTAATTTACTCAAATTAGTCAATTAGCTCTTATATTTAAAACCAGAAGTATTAGGTATTTTTTTATACTGGGAGTAGAATAAATCTTTCTCAAGGTGCAATGAGTGAAAGGTACATCATTGTAGTGGTTATGAGGAATTTGAAATGAAGGGAAGGCAAGGGAAGGAGTTGCTTTTGGTTGTGAAAGGTTTGAGACATAACTTGTGTTTGATTATGCAATTGAACTGTCTACACAAAATGAGAGTATTAATTTGGACTTCGATGACACAATACAACAAATGATGCTGAAGGGAGGGAAAGAGCAAAGGAAGAAGAGAAGAGGGAGAGAGTTTTCTCAGAGTTACGGTGCATTAATAAAACCGATCACTCCCATATTTTTCTCATTATTTGGTCCGATGATTACTAGAATTTCGAATTATAATTTTTTTCTTTACTTAATTAAATAATTAATCATTAAAGAAAAAACTTCTTAGCTCATTTACCTAACTAGGGTACTAGTCCTTCAAGGGGCACAGGGTATAACCTAGTAGGTTGAAAAAGAAAGGCAGTTTCATTCTTTTCTTTTTGTTTGATTAAAACTTTTCTTAAAGCTAATGATTTTATGATCCGGTGGCATAAAACTTCTCTCATAAATAGAAAGTTGCGGATCTGATTATTATAACTTCATGTCATTAATGTTTGCCCTTCTGAATTCAAAAAAAAAAAATGAAAGGAGGAAGGAAAGACTTCCTTAAAAATAAAAAAACAAGGCGATTTGGAGGATTCCCTCTCGATTCTTGTCCCCGCATAAATATCTTCTCTCTTGTTCCTTTGGTTAGAACTTCTAGGGTGTGAAGTTTCAAGTTTACAGAATATTTATGAAATAAAAGAGAAACAGAAACAACAGTGTGTGTTAAAAGAGATTAAACAGGTCTTCCCCCACCTTTATATCTCAGCCTCTCAACTTGAAAGGGCCATTATATTTCAAACGATTAGAGAACCAAAGAGGCTGCATCGTCCACTGAATAATTCTGCAGAAGGACAGATCTGTGTTTGGCATTCTAAACTGATATGGCATACAGAAATTAAGTTAATGAATAATGCAATTAGAGATGCTTATTCATTTTGATCAAGGAACGTAATCAAAACAAAGTATAGCCTTAAGCTACAGGATCGATTGCAAGACCTAAATATTATATTTCATTTCATTCCTAAGTAAGCAGATAGAGAGCAGAGCAGAAAGCATAACAATATAAGTTTGACAAAATCTCAGGACCATCCTTCTTCTTCTCCACACGAAGTGCAATAATCAACCTTCGAAAGGATTTGGGATTTCCTTCTTCAAATCCCAAATATCGTCGTCCCAATCAACGTCACCGTACAGAGCACCGAAAGCCTCGCCGGAGAAATCCGTATCCCAGAACGGGAACCAAACAGAACCCCACGACATTTGCTCGTCGACGAAATCAGCAATCCAGCAAGGCCAGTTCTCGTCCCAGTTAGCCAAACCCGAAACATTTTCCTCAGTTCCCACCACTTGTTTCTTCTTCTCATCCTCCTCCTCCTCCGCGTTCTTGAGCAGGGCCTTCTGATCAGTTCCTGGATGAGCCTTACTGGGTTTCTTCTTCTTGGCCGTGGCGGCCATTTCTGCAGCTTCGAAACCGGTCACACTCACCACTCGTTGGCGCTTCATGATTGAGAATGGATGGAGGAAGGAAGAGATGAGAATGAAGAGTATTTATATAGAGAGAGTAGAGAAGAGAAGAAGGTGATGTAATGAGAGAGAAGGTGGATTTTGGTGGGAGGCCCTGTATAAGGGAGGAAGAGAGAAGAAGGGAAATGCCACCTCGGGGACAGAAGTCACACGCAGCGAGAGAGAGAATGGGGTCAAATTCTGAAACTGGTCCACTTTCCTCACGTGTTGGCTACGTTCGTTGAATTTCTCCCATCTTCCTGGGGGGCCTGTTGCCAAATCTTATTCCCTATTACCACAAGTTATCCCCTCTCTCTCTCCATATATATATATATATATGTATATCAATTCACACCCTTAACTAAACGATATTTTATGGAAAAATGACCCAAAAAAATAAAAATGATTAAATTTCAAATCAAATTCGGTGACAATATTTTGTTTTAGTGTTGACAATATTAAATTTGCAAACAACAACAAATTTTTATTAATATTTTTATTTAATATTTAGTAATTTTCAGCTTTTTTTAATTATTTTCTCTATTTTATTTTGTGTCCCTCTTGTCCTCCCATTCAACCAGCTATCATAGTTAAATATTTTCTCTCTTTTTTTAAATTAGCTTTTGGTATATATGGATATTTAAAAATTACGTTCGTGGAATCCGAATTTCTCTCATCTTCCTGGGGGGCCTCATTCCCAGCTTCCAAATCTTATTCCCTATTACCAAAAGTTATCCTCCCTCTCTCTCTCTCTCTCTCTCTCTCTGTATATATACTCCTCCGGTCCTAATTATAAGACCCAATTAACTTATTTGAGGAGATTAAGGAAGTAAGTTAAGTTGGTTATTTATAATAAATAAGTGTTGTCATTCCTAAAATATCCTTGCTAATTAAGTATATTGGCTAAAACTATCATTATTAGAAGGATTATCTTGGAAAAAAATGCATAAATATAAGAGACAAAATGGATTGGGTCTTATAATTAGGACCAAATAAAAAGTCAAATTGGGTCTTATAATAAGAACCGGAGGAGTATTAATTATAATAATAATTTTAGTTTACAGCTAATTAAGTTTCATCAACTCACACCCTTAACTGATGGATATTTTATTTTGTGTCCCTCCTGTCCTCCCATTCAACCAGTTATTATAGTTAAACATTTTCTCTTTTTCTTTCTTGTTTCGCTTAATTAGCTATTTGTATATATGGATATTTAAAAACTATTCTTGCACTCCTAATCGTAAGACTTATTTTATAGGTGTTAAATGTAATTACACTATAGATGAGTATATGTTTTTATCAAATTTTTTTTTTTAACTTTTCCAATGCATTCTCCGAGTCAATATGTAAGTCTAATTACCTAATGAAATTCGTCAGAAAGTTACAGTAATTTCTAAAATTATGTTTCTTGAATTTAAACAAATAATTGATATCCTAAACATTATCAAACAGAACTTATATTTTAAATAAAAAAATTTAGAAAAAGAGAACTTGTACTTTGAACGGAAAGGAATTTGCACTGTTAATTTATTTCCTTAATCAATGCTGCCTCAGAGATTTCTAAAGTTAGTAAAAAATAAAGGTATAATTAAAATATTCTAACTAATGTCATTATATATAGAAAGAAAATTCTCTCTCTAGAAGTGACCGTCCGTTAGAATGAATATTGTTTTCTTTTGAAAAATAATGGACGCAATATATATATATAATATAAGTGTTTTTCCGTGGAGGTTCGGTTCCTTAATATTAAAACATATACACGTGTTCAAATCGATGGAAGTCATATTTAATTAAGCGTTAATTGCGGTTTGGAAATTAAGAGACGGCCGAAACTCGGATGTATGTGTTCCTCTGATTCATGTTAGATAGCCATTCATATATAAGAATTGTGCGCTTAATGTTAAAGAAGAAGCTAAGTGGAGAGAACACTAATTAATCACACTTAACAAAAACAAACCTGAGAATTACGGCGATGGATGATTAATTAATTAATTAATTAGAGATATATATACAAGTATTTTAAGTGTTAACGTAACATACATATATATATATATATATATATATATATACACACACACATACAGACACACACATAGGGGCCAAGGTAAAGCTAACCATATTTGAAGCAAACAAGAGGACAAATCAGTTTGACCAAAAAACAATCAACGGGAAGTCTTTATTGCCGACTGATAGTAACTATTCATTATGCGACAGAATATTAGTCTTCACGCAGTTAATTACCACCAAAATTAATTACAACGCAAAATCCCTATTGTAGTTAATTAAGAGAATTCTCAAAAAAGAACTGGAAATTGCCAATCACAAACCAGGTTTAGTAACAACACTTTAATAAATTTTGATAATATTAAAATTACAAATAATAACACTTTTTTATAAAAATTGTGATCAAATAACATACCAAAATTATAATAACGGTTAGATATTCCAAATTCTACCCCTAATTGAATGTTTTCTGAAGCTATAAAATTATTTATTATGAACTGGGACCATCATTATACTCCCTCTGGAACTATTTATAATCTTCAAATTTGAGAAAGACTGTATTCCATTTTATAAACTTCAATTTGGTTTTTTTTTTGTTATACACAACTTCAATTTGGTATTTTTCTCAACATTTAATATATTTTTTCAATTTTACCCTTAGTTATTTACTCTCTCTCATTACCATAATCTCTCTCATTATATTCCTCCCATATTCTTTTTCATCCTTTTTCTCATTTGTGATAAAGATGTATTTGAAAATAAAAAGTATATTTTTAACTATTTATTAATTATAACTAATTTTAACTAATTATTTACTATTTGTGAATTAGTTATTTAGAACTTATAACAAGAACACAAGGGAGTATTATAAGAAAGGACAGACTCAAAAAATTGAATGCTGTGTTTAGGAATGGAAAGAGTGTGTTATTAATATGCCTTCTACTTATTACAAGATGATAAATTATAATTAAGATTGTGTGCAGAGATGAAGAGGGGTGTTAAATACTAAGCAATGGACTAAATTGTAACAAACGCTGATGCTACAATTATAGATCTCACCAAAAGGGGGGGGAAGCAATACGACTTCCGTTAATAAAATAAATTCACTAAAATCCTAAAATGATAATCAATTTGAAGTAAGTTCACAACTCCAAAATACTCCCTACATTCCAAAACTACTGTTTTAAAATTTTTGTTTTTCTTCGAGACCTTTGTTGTTTTGAAAATTCAAAGTGTGGCCAATTTTTCCTCACTTATTCCCTGATTTTATAATTGTACAGCTAACGATTTTAAAATTATCTCCATAAGCTACACGTTTTTTTCCTTTTATCACATCTTATTTTCACCTTCTTTTTTTTTTATTAATTTTATATCTCATTTTTTCTCTGAATTACCCTATCATAAAAAAGTGGTTAAATGATAGTATTTTAATCAATATATATTTGTAATATTTTGTATCACTACTTAATGGTTTTTAAGTTACATATCATAATCTTAAACAATAATAGTTTTAAATTAAAGGAGATGACAATTATTTTAAAATGGTGGAAACATGATATTATCATTACCTCCCTTTTTTGAAGCGGAAAAAAACTTTTTGGCCAAACATGTTATTAATGCCTTCCATAGTTGGCTTTCGAATCAGCGCAAGGCGCTTGAAAAAGAAAAACAAAGAAAGGAAAAGAAAGAAGATATACTCAAAAGACCGCCATACTCATGAATCACGGCACTAATTAATTTAAATAAGGAAAAAAAATATAAATCTATATTTATATAAAGAAATGTTCCTATAAAATGGCAGAAAATGATATTATATTTTAAAGGTCCGAGCAGATTCATTTAACATTTCAGAGGGGGAAAGATGGTCGTTGGATGTTGTGTGATGTTCATGTTTTCACCCCATAAAAAATATTTGTAAATGTGAGTTAATTATTTTTTTGGGAGGGTAATTAATTAGTTTCACATGGGACACATTGAGAAATAAATAAAGTAATTGAAATTATTACATTCTTATATTTTAGTGTGTGAGAGAGGATTTGGAGGATGCATGTTGGGGACAAGCGGCAGTTGTTGGCATATGGGATTGCTCAACAAACAGTGGGCTGTCCTTTTATATCAAAGCATTCAATCAATCTAGTGTTTGGTATCCACAAAAAATCACATATTATAATTTAATTTTTTTAGATGATAAGATGGGTCTTAGGATTAATGTATCACATTGGATTTGAAAAACGTTTATAGAAATACTTACAGATTATTCATCAACAATTCTTTTAGAGAGATTTAAATTCACCATCTTGTATTATGAATCAACTCTTTGCCTAAGTGGATCAACCTGGATTGATTATTATGATATAGCTTGGTACTAATAACTGTTTGCCACAATTGCAGAGAAAATTCGGTGAAAAATCCTTATTTAAAAAATTATCGGCTAAAAAACTTGAATTTCAGTAGGTATAGCTTTTCTTTAACCACATAAAACATATCTTTAACTATTTACAAATGAATTTTATTTTGAAGACTTTTAGTTAAAAATAGGCTGCACACAAGTTTTTTTAAAAAAATTGCAGCATTGAAAACGAGTTGCACCCTGCTTTTGTCTGAAATTTCTCAAATAAGGACATTTTACCAATTTTTCCTAATTATTTAAAAACAAGAGATTAGTTTTAAAATAATGAAATTATATTATGATTTACTCTCTGTTTTTTCCCTTATTTTTAATGGTTATTAATTTGATTATGAAACGACAATTAATGATTTATGTGGTTTGTCATGTTCCTATGTTCCAAGCACGCCACTTTATGTTGTAATTGCACGCTTTGTCTGTCGGCAAGACGGCAGAACCCGTTTTCATTATTTCCACATTTCTCATTCTCATTTATCCTCTCCCCACTTCCTCCAACTCCTCCCATTTCTTTTTTCACTGTTCCCATCTCCTCTTTTATTTATTTGCTTTCATTTATTAAGATGATTGATGATTGATGACTTGTAAAATAAATTAACATTCCGTTATATTTCTTAAATATTTTATAATTTCAAATGTCATAATTGGGGGGGGGGGTTAATCGATTATTGGTTTTCACCACTGAAAATTA